GCTGGCTTGCTGGCTTGCTGGCTTGCTGGCTTGCTGGCTTGCTGGCTTGCTTGCTTGCTGGCTTGCTTGCTTGCTTGCTTGCTTGCTTTTGTTTTTTCCCCTTTCTTCAGACCGTTTTTTCCTTCCCTGTTGTCCTCCTTTCCTTCCTTTCTAGTCCCTTCGTGATCATGCCGCTTATCTTTGCACCCTTTCTTTGCAGGACCAGCTTGTTTTGAGTCAACATCTGTCCTCATCCAGGCCGTTCCCCTGCGCAGATTTGATGTTTCCCCACTGGTTTTGAGTTTCTTGCTCTGTGAGCGGCTGTGCGGCTTCTGTAGGATAAACACCTGGTGCGAGCCAGTCAGTGCCTACCAGAACAGACCAGCAAAAGGAAGCCCTCTTCGCCCCATCGCCCAGCCGAGCCATGCCCATCAACCCCGGCCTCGCCCACCACGAAGTTTGACCGTTTCACTCGCCTAAATTTGTGGTTGCACCTTGACACGTTCCCCTGGCCTTGAAAGGGGCCCAGATGTTTCAAGTGCCTTCAACTCAAGGGGAGTTGACAACAGTCTTGTTGAAAGGTTGACAGCACTTGAACACAGGATGGCAGAAAACATGGCTCTTTGCAAATTAGGACTTGAAGAGAATCCATATTCGGCCTCAGCTGAAGAGCTTGACACATTCAGAGCGCCTTTGGAACAGACAAGCAGGAAAAAATTCCTAATGCTTGTACAGTATATGTGCAAAATTGCAGTTCACACATGCAGGCACAATGCATGTGCAGCTCATGGCGCATTGCAAATTGCAATTCCACGATTTTTTTTGTTTCTGTGACCACTGACCACTAATGAGTCAAGCTGCCACTGGTAAGGAAAGCATGAAGAAGATACAGAATCCGACTGCCAAGCACATTCTCGTTGCAGATTTGGGTGGAGGAACCTTTGATGTGTGCATTGTCCGCCAATGGGTCGAGTGGGACGAGATCCACATTCAGTTCACAAGTGGTGACGAACGCCTTGGCGGGAACGATTTTGACAACGCGTTGACCACTTGGTGCCTCAAGCAAATGATGCTACAATGCAAAATATGATAAAATATGTTTGCGAGTTGCACTTGATTTGCTTTGCTTAATATATATATATAGAGGGTTGAAGATTGAAAGAAAGAATGCTGAAGCTAGACTCCTGCATCTACTTTTTTCTCAGGTAGGAAGTGAAATGCAAATAGGAGTGCAACAGCTATAGCCCCACCGAGATGGTGTGCTTTTCATTTGCCTAAGCCGAACTTTCTCGAGGAAACCTGAAATGCAACGTTTGAAGAAGTGGCCGCTGTCAAGGGAGAGCCAGGATGAGCTTAGGATCCTAGCAAAGAAGGTGGGAGCCTTCGCCAAGGGATAGGAGGGGCTCGATGCTAGCTGCAGCTGACAATTGATTATATGTTGTCAGTATGAATGAATGTGAATTATGAATGAGTATGAATATGATCTACTAAGCTTTGGGTTTGCACAGCTGCGCATGATGCCACCACGCAGGTGCATGGTGTGTTATGGCTTGCTAATGTGTTGCACAGCTCACTGCCGGTGTGAGGCCAAAGAGAGACTGAGCAGTTCAGACTCTGCCGAGATCTTGTTTGGCCCCTTCAAGGCCAAGCAGTGTGCTTCATCACAGCGGCTCGCATGCGCACTGTAGGTGCAAATTTTATCATGAATTGTCAAGGCTGAGCAAGGACGCTACTAGGGGCTCCTGGCCTTACTACTAGGAACAAGAAGCTACTAGGGGCTCCCGGCCGTCCTACTAGGAACAATGTTTGAACGTTCATGAGTTTCAAGTGTTTTGGTAGGCAACGGTTACTCGGGACAACTTCCGAGTGATTTGCCTGGATGTACTGAAGCGTCTATTGGTGCCAATCCGTGAAGCTGCCTATGGCTCACACCTGCGGTTGCCATTTGAGTCTCTAGCAGAAGAGGCCCTTGACGTAGCAGAAAGGAGTACCAAGAGAAAGAAGAGGTGGGGTTAGCAAGCAGTGGCTTTCAAGGGAATGTTGCTGCATTATTTTGCCATAGTCCATCGCTTTGATGGCCATGTCTGAATGTTTGGATACTCATGGAAAGGCGCATGACAGAAAGAGATCTCCGCACCAGAAGCAAGCAACTTCGGTCAAAGCACCAGAAGGGCGATGTGGAGGCGGCCTTGGGACCGGATGGTTTTGCGAAGACTGCCAGCCTTGCAGAGGTATTCATTGTTTTTGTTCAATTGTCATTCCTTCACAAAGGACAAGCTAGTAGCGACCTTGCTCCTAGTAGCGATGCCCCTTTGTTCCTCCTAGTAGTAAGGCCAGGAGCCCCTAGTAGCGTCCTTGCTCCTAGTAAAGGGTATAGGGATTGGTTCAGTTGCGATGCAGCCACTTTAGAGGTTCATAGTGCGCAGTGAAGGTGTTCAATGCATGGTGATTTGTGGGCTGTCGAGCATGAAAACGCTGGAAGAACCTTGATAGACTGGGGTTTGAGGGATTAGGAACTTGGAATGATTGAATTCACTAGCTGCTTGCCTTATCGTCACTTATTTGCCTATGCCATTTGGAAAGTTACACGTTTTCCAGATTTAACGCTACAGGAAACACGCCTTCTACCATATCCTCGATGAACACATTGTCATTTCTCACGTCATGTTCACAGGATGACGACGAAATAATGATCGACGAAATCCTGCTGATCGGTGCCGCCACCTGGAAGCTTGGGCTGATGATTGAGCTACTGCAGGTGCAAGTGGCCTCGAAGCACCAAATGCACTGATGCTGATGATACAATTGAAACGCGCAATGCTGCACTGCACGAAATGAAGCTAAAACTCAACAAATCACAGAAGTCCTGGCATTGAGCCACATTGCCCAAGGAATCCTGCAGTCCGCGAGATCCTGGCATTGGTGACAGGTGTGACGCCAAGCAGTGCTAGCATTGATCCAGAAACTTCTGTGGCGCTGGGAGCAGCCATTTTGGCTTCCATCATGGATCAGCAGATGACAGACATGCAGGCCCGTGAAACACGTGCACCTTATATACTGGTTGGCTAAGTCCTTTGCGGAAAAGGGTTCTAAACCCTGCATTTTTGGGCGACGGCCGTAGAGTTGGCTTTTTGCGCAGCTGTTGTCTTGCAGATTGCAGAGTGGGACTTGACTTTTGAGACCAATTGAATTGTCTCGTATATGAGTCGTATAATAGCTAGTAGTAACAAGTGCATCGCTACTAATAACAAGTGCCTTACTAGTAGTAACAAGAAGCTATTAGAAAAAACCATCATTTGGACAAGTAAGCAGGGGGGAACACTGATACGCAGCTCCAAAAGAGCTCAGCACAGGTGCATTCACCCTGGCGAAGCGCTTGGGTCGAGTACCTCATGAAGAAGCCTTCTCTTCTTAAGAAGTTCGAGGAGGACACAGCTAGGAAGCTGCAATGGTTTGTAGAAGCTCAACTGCCTGTTGCATTGTTGCAGGGGACAATTAAGCACGTGGTTTCTATTTGCTTTCTGGCACGCAAGAGCTTTTTCTGACAATATGTTTTCTAAGCTGCTGAACGTACAGCATAGAAGAGTGTTCAAAGTCCATTGCCGTGGTGTTGAATTCTTCCATATCACCGATCACTCACATATGAGTTCTTGAACTCTTGATCCTTAGCCTTCGATTCGCCTGTTAATCAAGCGGCCAGCTTTTGCTTTTTTTTGGAATCCTTGCCTCATATTCCTTTTGTACTCGTAGTTTTCCGGTTCTCCTTCCTTCTTATTGCCTTTGCTTTTCCTATATAAGTCTTTTTCTTTTGCATGTTTTTTTGTTTGCAGTGGGCCATCTCTAACTACCAGACTCAAAAACATTGTTTACTAGTTTACTATTGTTGTCATGTTCGTGACTTCTGATATGCTCAGGGCTTCGTGTGTGTGCTAACTGCCAGCTATGCAGAAGGTCGTGAGCTGATTACTGCGCTGTTCAGTTCAGTTCTGAATGACTCTAATTTGGGGGTGTCCTATTACATGTAACAGTCGCTCAACAATTATCTTATTATTTATATATATATATATATCACTATTTTAGAGGAAGGCCGGCCTTTGCTAACCATCATCATCCACTGTTACAGGGAATAGGATACACCCGAACTCTAAATATGTTTATGACTCTTTCAGTGCGTTTGCCTTTGCTTGTTGAAGGTGCAGGCAGCAACATGCACGTGCGCTGGTGCAAACACACACACACAAAATACGCACACACTTAGATAAGAGGCTTTGCGTATTCCGTGATTTGGTTCATAGCCGTTCAAATTATTGCGAAGCATTTTCTGCCCGCACTCCCCCACATGTAGTAAATGGACACGCTCTCAGATCTAGCATCCTACTGTGAAAGCTGGTTTGTTTTTTCAATACCAATCCAGCATCTTACCAAGAAAGCTGCGTGAACTTTCAGACTTCTATATATTGTATATATAGGTTAGCGTTTGTTGGCTGCTTGAAAGAAGTAAGTCCTCGTGAACCCTTCACGCACTTTGTTCACACGCACAAACTCACACACACACAGTTCCAGCAAATTGCATAGCCAGATGGCGAGGAGCAGCAGTCCAAGATGGGCGCTGGTTGATTGCGAAAACAGGCCGAGCTGACTCTTTGGGTTTGTGCAGGACAAGGCAACTGTGCCAGTTCAATTTCATTTATTTGGCAAACTACTTACAGATTGCTTCGTGGTAGACATATAAGTAGACAAAACATGTGATTGCATGCCCCCCAGGCTATGCAAGCGGTGTCAGCGCTTACTTCACATATTCCTTCCTCTTCCGTAGTCTTCTTTAACCAGTTGTTAAACCATGAATCAAATTAGATCCAACGCTCATCCGAGAGTTGTGGCTCAATGCACGAACTGACAGACTGTGAGTGAAGGCTCCCTGTGTGATGTCACAGATTGTCGGCACTGTCATCTTCACCACAGACAGATCAAATGTCCCTTCCTGTATGGGTGCTTTGCTCCTTGCTGGGTCGTGTGTACAACCCTTGCTATCAGGCGTTTTCGCACACAGGTTACATTGGAGAACGCAAAGGACAGGAAAGCCCTGCAGCGGCGACACCCATTGCTCTTTAGAAGGACGCTTGAAATGTCACAGTACCAGTGAATGCCCTGAAGACGAAGGTAGCTCATTGCGCTTCTGGGTGGCTATGAGACATGTGTCATTCACAAGCCAGCAAAAGAATGCAAAGGTTGTGGACAGCTTGCTCCAGAAGAATATCATGTCAAGCTGCCAAGCAGATTCATGAGCCTTGTGGCCTGCTGAAATTCCGGGATTTCAACCAATACTTTAGAGAAAACACTATGTTTTTGGGTGAGAGCAAAAATGGATCGAGCAACAGAGAGAGAGAGAGAACGAGAACGAGAACGAGAAAGAGAAAGAGGAGAAAAAGCATACGCGGGAGGCAAGCTTAAAAGAAATCGGACTTGCAACAGCTCTGACTGTGACTTGTGGGGGCAAAATAACTATAAGGTTGTTGCTGCCAGGACATACATTTTTTCCTTCCGATCATTACCATGTTGAAGCTGGTGGGAGTGAAGTTATATATGCACACAAGGTTTTCAGTCTAGAGTGCCCAAGTTTCGGCAGCTAACGCCAACGCCAGAGGAATCTGTCAGGTTCAATGAGTCTTTAAAGTCAAAACTCCTTCAGTTGGCGCCAAATTCCATTAGCACAGGGAGCGAAATCTCCAGGTGTATCATTGAAGCTGCAAGCCAAACGCTAGCAAAGATTGACCCCAAGCAAAAAACGACGGACCGTTACAAAAGATTACCGCCAGACAGCAGGCACATGAAAATGCGAACCTTCGATCGAGCAAAGGTCTTTCGCACCAAATCTAATACCCTGCAGGAAGGGACATTTGTGTTACCATTCTTGAATCTATAAGAGAAGTACCTATCAAAGAGAACAATGGACAGGTATAACTGAAGAATATGAAGAAAGAAAGAATCTAGGAATCTAGGGCTGAAGCAATCACCACTTATCTTCAGGACAAACATTGGACCAATGAAAACAACGTCCCAGTTGAGCATACAGACACGGTTCAAGATCTCAGACTTTTGCTTGACGTTGATTGAGAGTGTGCCGTTCAAGATATTGAGTTCAATGCTGCTTTGGTTTCTACAAAAACGAATACAAGGACCATGTTGCAATGGAGCTATTTCTCTTGGATGAACCTCGACAACCGAAGGCGGTTCCTGAGTATGTTAAACTCTTCTTGGAGCAATCAAGCCGCCCCTGACGACATTTTTTTCGCTTGGACGGTGCCTGTTACAAGAAAGCGAACACGGACGAACCCTCCAATTACGGACCGATATTCTTGTTGAACTCCACAGCGACTGCAGGTGGTACTGGAGAACACCATAACTCAAACGCAATATGGCCAAAGAGCTTTGAAGCGGAGGTGAGATGTCCAGCAAAGGGCTAGGTGACCCAGTGGTCACATGACAACTAATGACATGGTGAAGCATTGGACTGTGCAACCAGAGTCAATGGCTGAAGAAAACTGCCAGAGCATGTTGTGGAGAGAACAGGACAACAGCACTTCTATCTAGAGTGCTGCTGACAGGACTGATCCATCTAGCATCGTTTCGAATCGTGAAGAGACTGGATGAGACAGTTATTCATGTAAGCCGCGAATTGGCTCTATGGAACTGCTGCAGAGATCCCACAATTGCCAGATATTGCCAGCATTGCTCATGCAATGCTTTCAATTGTTTTCATGCCAGTTGCTCAGATCTTAAGCCAGTTTTGGAAGGAACACGGCTATGGGTCACGAATCTTGCCCATCAATCACCATTACCATCCATTTTCCAATTGCACTTTAATTGTATAATGGCCTTTGCGTTGCAAAATCAAGAATCAAACTCTAGACACACCAACAAGAGAATCAACATAGAGGGCACCAAGGCTGCCAAAGCTTGTGAACATGATGTAGCATTTGAAGATCATGTTGAACCTCCCAGCCTTCTTGGCCTTCTTAGCGGAATTGAAACAGAGTGCTTTGATACTTGGCCCGGTGGTGGGCAACCTCGTGTGGCACCATGCGGGGTGGGCGAATGGCCATGGGCAGGAGAGGTGGTGTCAAAGTTTAGTTGCGTAGTCATCTCAGGCGTTATATCAGTTTATTATAGTTTACAAGTAGTTCCCGGGCAAGCCGGCGGCGCGGAAGTTTCCTATAAGAACAAATTGACCTATAGCCTATAGGAGTGTCCCGGTTCTTTCCACCATGCGTGTCCCTCGTGCCCCTCAGTCAGACGCACGCATGCTCCGGACTTTTGACCAACACAGCGCCACCTGTGCAAGGTCTGTGCTCCCTGATGTACTAAAGTTGTACTACAAAGTCGCGTACTAAAGTTGTACTACTACAAAGTCGCCAGTTCTCAGCTTCCAGCTCCGCAGATACTCCGCGCACTAAAGTTGTATTACAAAGTCGCCAGTTCTCAGCTTCCAGCTCCACAGATTGCTCTGCGCACTAAAGTTGTACTATAAAGTCGCCAGTTCTCAGCTTCCAGCTCCGCAGATACTCCGCGTACTGGCAAAGTCGCCAGCTCTCAGCTTCCAGCTCCACAGATACTCCGCGTACTGAAGTTGTACTACAAAGTCGCCAGCTCTCAGCTTCCAGCTCCACAGATTGCTCCGCGTGCTAAAGTTGTACTAGAAAGTCGCCAGTTCTCATCTTCCAGCTCCCCAGATACTCCGCGTACTAAAGTTGTACTACAAAGTCGCCAGTTCTCAGATTCCAGCTCCCCAGATTGCTCCGAGTACTAAAGTTGTACTACAAAGTCGTCAGTTCTCAGCTTCCAGCTCCACAGGTTGCTCCGCGTACTAAATTGTACTAGAAAGTCGCCAGTTCTCATCTTCAGATACTCCGCGTACGAAAGTTGTACTACAAAGTCGCCAGTTCTCAGCTTCCAGCTCCACAGATTGCTCAAAGTCGCCAGTTCTCATCTTCCAGCTCCGCAGATACTCCGCGGTGCTGTGCCTGCCACGAAATCTGCACATGGAGGTTCACAAAGTGCTGTGCTTGCCACGAAATTTGCACATGGAGGTTCACAAAGTGCCGTGCCTGCGACGAAATCTGCACTGAGGTTCACAAAGTGCTGCGCCTACCACGAAATCTGCACATGGAGGTTGACAAAGTACTGCACCTGCCACGACATCTGCGCATGCAGGTTCACAAAGTGCTGCGCCTGCCACGAAATCTGCACATGGAGGCTCACAAAGTGCTGCGCCTGCCACGAAATCTGCACATCGAGGTTCACAAAGTGATGTGCTTGCCACGAAATCTGCACATGGAGGTTCACAAAGTGCTGTGCTTGCCACGAAATCTGCACAGACATGAAGGTTCACAAAGTGCTGCGCCTGGGACGAAATCTGCACTGAGGTTCACGAAGTGCTGCGCCTGCCACGAAATCTGCGCATGGAGGTTGACAAAGTACTGCGCCTGCCACGACATCTGCACATGGAGGTTCACAAAGTGCTGCGCCTGCCACGAAATCTGCTCATGGAGGTTCAGAAAGTGCTGCGCCTGCCACGAAATCTGCGCTGCGCTTGCCACGCAATCTGCACATCGAGGTTCACAAAGTGCTGGGCCTGCCACGACATCTGCAGATGGAGGTTCGCAAAGTGCTGTACCTGCCACGAAATCTGCACTTTGAGGTTCGCAAAGCGCTGCGCCTGCCACGAAATCTGCACATGCAGGTTCACAAAGTGCTGCGCCTGCCACGAAATCTGCACTTTGAGGTTCACAAAGCGCTGGCCTGCCACGGAATCTGCACATCGAGGTTCACAAAGTGCTGCGCCTGCCACGAAATCGGCGCTTCAAGAAACAAGTGAAAACTCTAACCGCAATGGAGGGACGATTCTGAGCATGATCGACCATGGCGCGAGACCATCCGGAAACCATCGTTCCGCGGATCTTCGGCGTCGAGGTTCGGAGAAGCATGGAGGTTCACAAAGTGCTGTGCCTGCCACAAAATCTGCACATGGAGGTTCACAAAGTCCGCCTTCCACGCAATCTGCGCATGGAGGTTCACAAAGTGCTGCGCCTGCCCTGCCACGACATCTGCAGATGGAGGTTCACAAAGTGCTGGGCCTGCCACGAAATCTGCACTTTGAGGTTCACAAAGTGCTGCGCTTGCCAGGAAATCTGCACATCGAGGTCAAAGTGCTGCGCCTGCACATGGAGGTTCGCAAAGTGCTGTGCCTGCCACGAAATCTGCACATTGAGCTAGAGCAATTGAAACTAGAGCTAACTGGAGCTAGAGCTATTGAAACTAGAGCTACTTGGAGCTAGAGCTATTGAAACTAGAGCTAACTGGAGCTAGAGCCATTGAAACTAGAGCTACTTGGAGCTAGAGCTATTGAAACTGGAGCTGACTGGAGATAGAGCTCTTGAAACTAGAGCTACCTGGAGCTAGAGCTATTGAAACTAGAGCTAACTGGAGCTAGAGCTCTTGAAACTAGAGCTACCTGGAGCTAGAGCTCTTGAAACTAGAGCTAACTGGAGCTAGAGCTCTTGAAACCAGAGCCAACTGGATGATGAGTGGTGCATGACAAGTGGTGTATGATGTGTGGTGTATGATATGTGGTGTAAGATAAGTGGTGTATGATGAGTGGTGTATGATGAGTGGTGTATGACAAGTGGTGTATGATGAGTGGTGTATGATGAGTGGTGTATGATAAACGGTGTATGCTGAGTGGTGTATGATGAGTGGTGTATGATAAGTGGTGAATGGTAAGTGGTGTATGATAAGTGGTGTATGATGAGTGGTGTATGATGAGTGGTGTATGATAAGTGG